ATGAGAGGGGTAAGGAGTGAGATTGTGTCCTGGCCAAGGCCAGGCCTTTCTTTGGCTTTTAGTGTGTCTTATGCCTCCCCCTCCGCCTCCTCCTTGTCCCTTCTAACTGGTTGCTTGACCTTGGCTTGAGAGAGGAGCCAGGCAGCCTTCCAGTGTATGCCCATATATTACACTCCCACCATACCCAGTAACACTTTAGCGCTGTTCCTTATCTTTCTCATTGTACTAACAAATCCATCTGGCTAGGCAGAAGCAACACAGTGTCTTTGTTCATTGTTCACACATATTAGTAAGGATATAAGAGTATCAAAAATCAAACCCAAAATTCTATCTCAGGCTAACAAACAGGCCTATATACTAACACCTCGCTCCCGCAGCCCAGGTGTGGTGCATCACAGGTAGCTGGGCTTCTTGGAGATTATGGGCCAGATCCACAGCTGGGGTACGTTGGCACAGCTCCATTTTAGCAGAGAAGTGACCCTCAACATGCCTGAGGCAATAGTGGAGCAATGTAACATCCCCTATCATAGCTCATTGCTGTATTCTATGGCCTTGGCTACACTGGCGCTGTACAGTGCTGCAACTTGCTGCGCTCAGGGGTGTGAAAACGCCCCCCCCCCGAGCACAGCGCTGTACAGCGCCAGTGTAATCAGCGCCTGCAGCGCTGCACACTCGCTCGCAGCGCTGCAAGCTATTCCCCTCGGAGAGGTGGAGTACTTGCAGTACTGCGAGAGAGCTCTTGCAGCGCTGGCGGTGCGACTACACTCACGCTTCACAGCGCTGCCGTGGCAGCGATGTAAATTCTCAAGTGTAACCAAGGCCTATGTATCTCTATTGGCCACATTGTCTGCATTACCTCAAAATATTCTGGGCCAGGTCATGAGCTGGTTTAAAATAGCGTAACGCAAGTGAGTCAAATTCCCTTCTCAGCTACATGGGTGTGACTCAGTGGTGTACTAAGAAGGTGAAAGTAAGAGAAGCATCACATCCATTGACCTCAATGGAGCTGCGCTGATTTACGCTCACTGAGGAGCTGGAACTCTGCATTTAAAGTTAAAGTCTTGACCCTTCTTTGCAGTGGAAGAAAAATCCTAGTGCAAAACAACTGCAAATTTTGTTGTGCAGGGGAAGCAGGATTCCCAACTGTGACGGGTTACCTGGGGTGCAATCTGGAACTGGGGTACCGCTGAGCCCTCTGTCTTACCAGCCTGGGTTCCCTCTCACACTATGACCCTGTGACAAGCTGCAAACCCCTCCAGGTACTGCACTTGTACAGACACCCACAGGCAGGGACACGCCCAACTGAGTTACATGAATTCTTTCACCAGCCACTCATGAACTGACACTAGGAAGGCTCCAGCCAATTCCCCACAGCTCCCCTGCTTAGGACCCCAAATCTGTACCATCTTGCCCTGGTCAGAAGCCTGACCAGTGTAAGTTTATTACTCAGTCCAACTTTCCCTCAAAGTGGAGAGGACATGCACCAGCTCTTGTTCCTGAGCAGATTTCCCAAGCACTTCAACCAAAACACACTGTTTTAGATAGAATATAAAACAGATTTATTAACTATAGAAAGATAGATTTTAAGTGAATATAAGTGGTAAGCGTACAGATCAAAGTTGGTCACCTAAGAAATAAAAGTAGCATTGCAATCTGAGTTCTATATACTAGACAGGATTTGAATCAAGCAGTGTCTCACCTGACGGTATAGTTCTTTCATACACAGGCTGGGATTCCTGTTTTCCACCTGGGACCACCTCCCCCATTCAGTCTTTTGTCCTCCAGATGTAGCAGTAGGATTTTATGTTTGTATTTTGTATAATTTACAATTAAGGATATAATAATGTAGCATGTATTAAATGTATTGATGTATGATTTGACCATATCCTGCCAGCCACCCTTTTTGAATAGCAGAAAGGGGCCAGTGGTAGAAACGCATCAGACAGGCTGCCTGTGTCTGAACTGATGTTAAGGCAGGAACAGACCAGAACAGTCTTTATGGCTGATTATGGTCACCTTTTGTTTTAGGACAAGTTTTCATTACAGTATTTGCTATAAGGTCTTGTTTCTTATCTGCATTGCAAACAAAGTTGTGTAAGGTTCTTTTGTAATCTAAAATGTAATCCTGTCTGAAATTCTCTGTAAAATTGTTTGGTGTGAGTAAAGGATGTGTGCATGGTTAAGCTATCACAAATGTCCAGCTGGTCAAGAAGAAGTGAGAGACTTGGAGAAACAGCAGGAAACAATCAGAAAACGTCCATTGTATCTGATGCTAAACGAGTTAGCAGTATGGACAACCTCAGAGGTGAGGCAAACACCCCCAAAGTCAAGGCAACAAATAAGAGATAACAGCAGAAAACCCCAAGATTAACACCACTTAAGGACTAACGATTACAGAATGACATTGCAAATCCATAGACTAAAGTGGGAATTTACAAGTATAAAGCTGGGGTGTTTTGCCATAGAACTCTGGATTCAGTCCTGCAAAGCTTTGGAGCATCGGATTGCGACCAACAGAGTCCAGCTCCTCACTCATGCTCTATCTAACTGGCCATTGGATTGACTCGAGCTACAACAGACTGGTAACTATAAGACCATCTGCAGGACCTGTGTGTGTGTATGTGTGTGTGTGATTGAATTCATATTCTAACCGTTGTATTTTCAATAAACACAGCGTATTTCCTTTTCCCCTGAAAAAGATCCCATGTGCTTCTTATAAGCATAACATAGATCCCAGGAAGTGGCTGCCAGGTCCCTGCAGCTCCTAGACGCATGAGCAGCCAGGGAGACTCCATGCGCTGCCCTCGCAGCTGCTGGCACTGCCCCCGCAGCTCCCATTGGTTGGGGTTCCCAGCCAATGGGAGCTGCGGAGCCGGCCCTTGGGGCGTGGGCAGTGCATGGAGACTCCCTGGCTGCACATGCATCTAGGGGCTGCAGGGACCCGACGGCCACTTCTAGGAGCCATGCAGAGATAGGGCAGGCAGGGAGCTTGCCTTAGCCCCCAGATCCCCGCTGTGCTGTGGACCAGACTTTTAAAGGCCGGTGCCGACCAGAGCCGCCAGGGTCCCTTTTCGACTGGGCCTTCCAGTCAAAAAACAGATGCTTGGCAATCCCAGGCTGATGGCTTGACCAAGATCAGAGAAGGGGTGGAGCTGTTGGATCAGCCACTACACAGATTCACTAGCTGTTTCCTCCTTCACCCCAAGGAATCGGAGAGCAGCAGTAACAGACACTACTGCAGACTGAAGAGGCTGTTAACAGCATGGAATGGCTTTGTGCCATTCGCCATTCTATACCCCAACAGAATTCTGGGCAAAGCTAATTGTCGTGTTGCGAAATCCAGTATTGCATGCTGCTGAGTGACAACAATGCCTGCCAAAGTGGACAGACCCCCTCATTTTTCAAACCAGTTCAGCCAACCACACTTTGGAGACCAATAACACCTCACACAGAGCACTACTAAGGGGCCTGGGTCTGCTGGCTCTGAGAATGAAGAAAAGAAACATAATTATCAAAGAATAGAGACTAGACTCAATAAGTGCATTACACAGACACCTTTATTTTTTCTCAATTAGCAATGAAGTGCCATTCGATTCAGAGACTGAGTTGATTAGAATTTCTGTTTAAATGTACAGTGTAGATCTCTTGACATCACCAGCAGAAGGTGGGCTTCCAGAACAGGGTGCTTCTCTAGGACTAATCACAGGAATGGGGCACGGAGACGAAATGTATGTCTGATTTTCCTTATGCGTAAAATAAAATCAGGAACAGTGAAAAGATCCTTTCCATTATTCATCCCTAAATGGAAACTGAGGGTGGCCCAAAAATCTAGAAAGAAAAGGTGACATTTATGAACTATCCACCTGTAACTATATTATTAGGACATCTGAGGGCAAAACTCAGGGATCTCAGAGCAGACATGCAACACTTTCTACCTGTCTAAGGGTTTTCTTTCATCACTGTACTATTTAAGCACGTGGGTGCTCTAATGTATCGTCTCTAGTGAGATGACAGTAAGTTACAGCACAGTTTATAACTAATACCTGTGTTCTCTTGGAAGTTAATAAAGCTCACAGAAAACTTGACAGAATGGGGTCATAACTCTCTGTGACTGCCTATGGCTCTGGACTGATCCCAAAGTTTTAGTTCAAGCCCATCTGTAGTTTAAAACATTGGAAACCTTTATAAGCATTAGGATGATTAGACAATGACATGGGCATCCAAGGGAAGTTGTGGGTTTCCCTTCAAACTGGAAAAATTCAAGGTTAGACTACATAACCCACTACAGGGAACATTTCTGATAATGGGCCAAATTCAGCTTTCAGTGTATCCAGAGGAACTCAGTTTCAGTCATTTCCTGTGGATTTTTACCAGAGTAATGAAGTGCAGAATTTGTGTCAATGAAATCACTCCTGCCTCACTGTGGAGGGTTGAATAAATGACCCCACCCAGGTCCATTTTGCTGTCATTGTGGGGGCCTCAGGCACTGGTGTACCTCGGTCCTGCCTATTCTCTGTGTGTGGCACATAAATGTCTAGTCTCCCATAGGCTTTAATGCTTTGGTCTGGTTTTGGTTGTTGGGTTCAGTGTTAGGGTTGCCAACTTTCTACTCACACAAAACTGAACACCCTCTGCCCTACTCCTCCTTCGAGGCCCCGTCCCTGCCCCACCCCTTCTCTGAAGCCCCACCCCCTCTCATTCCACCCCCCCCCGTCACTTGCTCTCCCCACCCTCACTCACTCGCTTGTTTTCACCAGGCTGGCTCAGGGCATTGGGGTGCAGGAGCAGGTTAGGGCTCTGGGTTCTGGGATGGG